GCCCCCCCCCCAGTTAGGGTGGAGGATTACGTTATTCCAAATTTGATGGCTCTAGGTACCATTATTTTATCAGAGTGCGAGAAGCATTCATACATTTATGGAAATTCTTCATTAATTAATTTCTTTAAATATTAGTGCGATAATATTTGCTGGTAACAATTCAAAAAGTGAAATTGCAAAACGCCACAAAATGGCAAAACGAAATTAATAGCCCTTCTGGGCTAAATATTATTTTTAAAAGTATCACACTAGTAGTAGTACTACTACTAAAGTACTAGTAGTACTACTAAAAAAATATTATGAAACTATTTTATAGTTTTTTTTTTTTTTTTTTTTTTCATTTTTATTTTACAGTATTCTGAATTTCATGTAATAATTAATGGCACTCCTTATTGTGTTCACAATATTGTTCCTAAGGTCTTCCACTGTTATATTTTAAAAACTTAATTCTTGCTGTAGATAAATTGAGTAGACGCTTCTCGGATGTCTATATTTTTATTAACTGAAGAAGGATTATGTGCTAGATAAATACTTATTATCTTCTACATTTTTAAACTATATAATTACAATATATACCTATAATTTCAGGAAAGTATAAATAACCTTTCTTTCAGTAGAAATTGCATTCTTGTTTTCTGAATGTGGCTCCAAGTACCCTCTCAGTTCATTGTAAATTAAAATAACTATAAATTTTGGCAATCTGAAATATGCAATGAGAACATCTTCTGGCAGAGCTAAAGCATCAACATATTTTCTGTACAACCATATTCTTCGTTTAAATATGAAAAAATTAGCAGTGAAAATGCATACAAACCATTGTCTACTTAGAACGTCAACTGGACAAGCCTGATTGACGACGGGGCAAAACATTTCTGTGCACTTCCAACAACTTCTGTACTCAGAGAATATGGGATGTCGGGCAGACCTGTTTTTCACTAGCAGCGACATCTGACGGCCCACAAACTGCTGTCGACTCTCGGAGCGTAGAATAGTCCTCCAGGCCATAACTGTTTTCACATTTGGCCTAAAGGAGGCTGAAAGCTTAAAAGAGCTCAAAGGAAAACAATTTTAATTTTCTTTTGCAAGAATACGTGTCACAAGTTTAAAATGCAGAAATATGTTTGAAAATCCACAATTTTATCAACATAGAAATCCAAAGAATTGCTATCTAGCTTACAGAACAAAGACTTCAAACAACCCAGACTACATTTCAAATTTTCATGAACTCTGTTTATGGTCCGTATGATGAAGTTCCACCTTGTGGAGGAATAAATACCACATGCGCAGAGTAAAAAGAAATCACGTTTTCAACAACATGCGAGAATTTTGGCACTGCAAGAGCAACAGTGCTCTTCTCTCTACCCGGATCGTGTGCATATGCAGAACAGCCAAACACCACGTCGCTAGATCACTAACTCTCAACATCTGAGAACTTCTTATTTATATAGCCTACTTAGGCCGACTAAAATTTATTGCTAAGGGCGAATGTTCTTTTACAGTGTATTGCATGTTTGTTTTGAAAAATTTATTCATTTCTAGTATCTTTTTATAAATAGTTACAAAAATTATAAATTAATTTAGATGCTTAAAGTGTAATAAGGTTACCATAATAGGTTAAATAAATAAAAATACTATATAACAAACTGCAAGTGTATGCATGAGCTTATATTACAATGCATTATACTTAGAAAATTTCCCTCAAATTATAAATGTTGAAGAAAAATTACTGGAAGACAAGAAAATTTGTCATAGATGATTTATTTGTTCTAGAAGAATAATTTGTTGGCCAAGCATGGAATTCATGTGCATCTGTAAAAATTCTAATGTATAGTAAAGGAAATATCTGATGACATCTGTGTGTGTTCCCATTAATTTAATTTCGATCTATTTTTATTGGGTATTAAAAGACCAAATAATTTGTAAAGCATATTATTTATTAATATATTGGATGAGGCACATCCAAATAGATTTACTGTGTGTGTCATGGCATTGCTTTAGTGATGGTCACCATGATCATTAAAGTTACTTTGAAGTGGAGCATTAGTGCATGAATCACTATATTGCCACAGTAAAATTATTCATATAAAACTAAATTACCAATAATGTTATCCAAAGAATCCACAGGTATTTCATCAGCATTCTGTCTAAAGTGGCAAGTGAAAGTATGGTGTGTAATTTGAACTTTTTCCCCCCCACCTCTTAATGGAGCTGGTGAAGTGGTTACTACGAGTGGCAGAGTTTCCACGCTACCTGGAAAATCGGGAAAACCGGAAAAAGTCAGGGAATTTGAAAATTGACCAAAAAAGTCGGGGAATTTAAATATTTTAGTCAAAATCCGGAAAAGTCAGGGAAGGTCATATGGCGATCCCCCAAAAAGCGAGTTTTGCGCCAGTGTTGGAAACGATCACTTTATTGATGAGTTATGTATCAGATGAGTGTCATTTGGGCAGCTAGTGTAGAGCCAATTTTCGCATTGTCTTTTAGAAAGGCAAAGCAAGTTTTCGGCAAGTTTGGTTTTCAGTAATTGCGAGAATCCTAAGACTCGCATGTGCAGATTATGTTGAACTAAAGAATATAAAATACCTTCGCTTTCTCGTATATAACAAAATCGGTTTAATCCTAATATACGGTGCCATGGACCCTGTTCTAATGTAAGAATGTCTATGTAAAGAAAGAAAGGTTCCATAGACGTAATGTAAATCAGTTTGCTAGAGTGTCGGTAGAAAGCGGAGGGAAAAACTCGCCAAGGGAAAAGAATGCTAAGGGGATTTGGCAACAGAACCTGACGGCGAGAATTTCTCCCCCTTCGCGATGTGTACAGGAAATTGTGGAGCATGTGTTAAGAAGAAACGTTCTTAGACTTTCGTGATAATTTATACTCGGATTTTCGTACTTTTTTTTGCTCAAAATAGCTAATCTATTAATTAATTTACTCGCACAAAAATTATTTTCTTTTCCTTTAAAGGAAATTTAAAACGATATTCGTTTTATGTACTCTTGATAAACGAATTTGGCAAGCTTCGGCGACAGATATTTCACATTTCGCGCATAAACGACAGATGTTTCCCTCTACGTTGAGACGGAGCCATTTCTGTTGCAGAGAAGTTTTTTTTATCTTAACAATACATATTTAGTTTATTCTAACCTCCATGTACGGTACACACAGGATTTGGTGATATTATGATGAGCAGTAACAACAGTTACCTTTTTCTGTCTCTTAGTCTCTGTTTAAGAAGATGTTGGGCAGTAAACCGGTCATTTTGGTGTTGGCGGCAGTTTTCAAAATTCTACCAAGGCCGTAGCAAAGACTAGGATTTTATCGCAAAATCTTTTAAACTTTTTTTTTTTTTCTACATTTTAATAAATGCCTTATTTTTCATTTTGCAGTAAAATAAAAAAATCGTAATCAGTCAGTAAAAATAGGCTAATCGTTTAAATCTGACTATATTCGCCAAAATATCATTGATTATTGTAATTCAATTTTTAAGTAACTAACTTCATTTTAATGTTATTTATATCATTTAATGTTCTTCTTTCCTCTAAATTTATTTATTATTAGTTAATAATACTTTCAAATTTCAGGCAAATTTCTCTGGCATAATTCTGAAACTAAATCTAGCAGTATGATGACATACTATCACGAAATTTAATGCACATATTTTTGTTTATGTATGCTGCTAAATAAATATAAAATACCTGAATTTATTTTAAAATATCATTAAATAGATTTATTTCTTTCGTTTAGCTGCAAAATGTCTGCAAAAAAATCTCATTTTTTAATCCAGATTGGGCAGATTCTAATCTCAATCTTCAGTGGAGAAAATAACTCCTATTATAGATATAATAGTAATGCTTTCAGGATTTTAATATATAATGCCTCTGATGCAATTGGCAAATTTTTGTGTTTTCAAGTGGTACCATAATTAATTTACTTCTCAGCGCAGCGAACACGCACTATGCGGATAGACTGTAATTTTCTCGGAACACACCTGGAAAAGTCAGGGAATTTCATTCTCCTCTTTAAGTGGCAACCTTGGAGTGGTCATTTTTACACCATCGTACTTGAAATATTTCTTAAGGATTCTGTAGGGCTTCTTCACTATGAGTAATGGTTTCAGCAGGATAGAATGACTGCCTAAATAGTCACGATCTGTGTATGACAGATAACTTCAGAAGTTGTTACCAGAATTTCATTATGTTTTGAGGTTGTCAAATGACCTGTCTTGTCAATTTAAACATATCTAACTCTTCTGGTGGAAATTCATCAAAGATAGAACAGGTACAAAACATGTCCATTACTAAGTTTGTGAAATTATGTAATAAAATTCAAGGTGATGATTTGAATTGTAATACATGTAAACATCTCAGTTTCAGTTATGTATTTAACTACAATGTGGTATTTGCAATGTGTGGTATTCAATAGATATTGATTATCTAGGAAGATCTAGAACTTCTGTAATACATTTATAGTAAGATATGTATGTTTCCATTGTCCATTGACATTCTGTTCCTTTTGCAAAATTATCAGTTATTTTTGACTTGCATAATACTTTCAACAAATCTGAGGCAGCAATTACCACAAAATCAATGCATATGGTATCTGTGAAGAAATAAGGTTGTCTAGAACTTCAAATAAAAGATAATAAATGTGTATCAAATAAATATGTTTTCACACAATAAATTATTGTTTAAAATCATCAAATTTTCTTTTATTACATACTTGGAATATGTTCAATAAAGTACAAGATAAATATTTCAAAATTGAAAATTGAGATTGGAATTTATAATAAAAAATTAGATTTAATAAAGTAATTTAAATGCATTTTTTGGATGTAATTACTTTTTTGAAGTATGTGCAGTTTTAAGAAATTTTTGCATGCATGCTTGCACGTTTATTAAAATGTTATTGAAATACCTAAGATTGCAATGTACCTAATGCACATTGCTTAAATGTCAGTATCTGTTTCCAAATGTGATGTTATCTTAATATTTGTTATTAGGCTTTGGATATTGAACCCAAAAATCCAAAAGCTTTATTCAGGAGAGGACAAGCATTTCATGGGAAAAGTGACTATGAAAGGAGTCTAGTAAGTCTTATTTCTGTATTAAAACTGTTGCTTTGGGTTAATCTTTCATTCTGGAACTCTGGTAAGTTCTGAGAATTTTCACAATTTAGTCAGAAAAATTATTAAAAGTAGAATGATCCTGCAGTGAACAGTTGGAAGGGATGCTAAGAGGGCTTGCCTAGTGAGAAATGTTTTAGCCTGCCAAAGGAGCATATGGGATTAAGTAAAACAAAAGGTTTTTAATCGTAGCTTTGCCTGAACTTAATAAAACAAATGAACAGAGCGTGTCAACCTATGACATACAAGAAAAAATGTAAGATGGATTACAGGGCAATAACTTAATTGGTATAAACTACTATGTTCATGTCTACATTGCCATTACATTTATTTCATCAGATACTTGACTACGAGTTGATGCATTGCTGTTTCTATTATTTATTGGTTGATCCCCCCCATCTTGTTTCGCAAGGAATTTTATTCATTTTGCATGGCTGCTTTCCATTTTTCTGCATCTGGTTCAGATAAAACTTCTACAGTTTTCTGGTCTGTAAAATTTCAGTGTTTACCAAATTTTTGCTGCTAGACTTTCTTAGTTTGCTTGTTTTCTCTATTTTCAGGTCTTTGTGGTCTTCTTTTCTAAATATCTTTCTGAACAAATTATGTTTTCTTCAACATCTGCTCTCTGTTCATCTGGCACTTTGTAATTCTTATTGGCTTCCAAATTTATTTAGCTAGGAATAAATTCAATGAATACTTTTTCGTCAGCTGTTTAAGTTTCAAAGCTTGTTTCAATTTCCAGCACATCAGACATTGTCTCTGAGTGTTATATCACATGTTCAACGTTCCCACTGACAATATGCATTTGTTTCCTCATAATGTCCAATAAGAATACATTTTTTATTTTTTGGGAGAAAATTTATTTTTCTTATTCAAATTAGTTGATGAAAAAGATTTGCTTCCTTTGATCCTGAAATGTGATACTGTAGGCTTTCTTTTAGATAAAATTTCTTTAGGAATTTTATATCTGCTTTTAGTGGGACATTGGTTACAGATGTAATTTGCTGCTGATACCATTTCTGCCACACTGTCTTTGAGGTAATTTTGATCATTAGTTAATAATACTTTCAAATTTCAAGCAATTTTCTCTGGCATACTCCTGAAACTAATTCTAGCAGTATGATGACATACCATCACAAAAATTTAATGTACATATTTTTTGCTTATGTATGCTGCTAAATAAATATAAAATACCTGAATTTATTTTAAAATATTTAATATATTTCTTTCTTTCATTTAGCTGCAAAATGTCTGCAAAAAAGACATTTTTTTATCCAGATTGTAATCTCAATCTTCAGTGGAGAAAACAATTCCTATTATATGTGTTCCAAAAAAAGAAAAAAAAAAAAAAAAGGAAGGAGGAAATAATATAATAGATTCTTAATTAGAAATATTTACTGCAAGCCCGGAACTGAGGCATATGTCAAAACTCTAAAAAGAAGATTCATGGAATACAGATAACATTGCCACACGCACACACACACACACACAACACACACACAAAAAAAAAAAAAAAAAAAAAGACTAGTCATTAAAAGTCTTCAGAATTAATTTTTGTTTTCAAGAGTAGTCATATTTCATGGAGCTAATAATAATTTTTCTTTATAACAGTTAAATAATAATGCTTTGGAGATTATATATATAAAAGTCATATGTAATTGGTAAGCTTTTGTGTTTTCAAGTAGTACCATAATTAATTTACCTCTGGGCACAGTCAATGCGCATTACGCGGATAGACTGGAATTTTCTTAAAACACACCTGGAAAAGTCAGGGAATTTCATTCTCCTGTTTGAATGGCAATCCTGATATGTATGTATATATATATTGCATAACTCAAAAATGATTAACTGTACAATGTTGAAATTTTGTGTATGGGACTGCTATAATATGTAGTTGGGCACTTCTCTTTTTTATTGCTTTTATATATATATATATAAATATATATAAAATATTTATATATATATATATATATTTATTTATTTATTCCGCTTCCTTACTCACCTAAAAAGTTCTTATCCAATCTTTATTTTTGCAGTTGTTGGCGTAGTTATATCTCCCCATTACAGAAGTTTTTAAATGATGAAAAGTTTTTTCGCCAATGTCAAATTAAAAAAAAAAAAAAAAAGAAAGAAAGGAAAAAAAAACTTAAGTCTTGACATATAATGAAATTTCACTTTTTATATGGTCTCCTGGTTGCTATACATATATTTGGGAAAGTTTTATATTCATGAAAATATAAATTATAAGAAGTTTGATTTCCGTGCAGCAAAAACTGACCAGGATATTCAAGTCAATATTCACAATTTTCGATGCTATTTTCAACTTCCCATGAGGGATCAGTTGATTAAGTTAGAATCATTCAAAGAAATAAGTTTAAATGAAGCACAGCAAAAATGTGTGTAATTTAATAGGCCGTACAAGAAAGTAATTTGATGTCCATATCAGATTTTTTAACTATTAATCCAGATCTGATAAAAATCCTCATCAAAATGTTGATTCCTGGAAACATATAAATTTATTGGGAGGCCCAAGAGTTCTAGTTATACCTCTGATAACAGAAATGTTTTTAATCTCATAATCCTAAATTTTGGAATTAAATTTAGACTTACAAAAGTGCAGTTATTCTGATATTGCTAATCAATTATGAGGGATTTTATTGTAAACTCAAAAGATACCAAATTTGCTTAATCACATGCAGTTTTATTTCACTTATAATAGTGTAATTCCTTAGAGCATTCTAAATAACAAGTAATTATTTTCTCATGTTCTTTCATTATGCATATTCTTCCAAGTAAAATCAAAATGTAATTAGTGACATCGTATTAAATGCTATATTAAATAAAATTAGCTTTTAGTATTTGTATGTAGGATTTCTTTTTTGACATATGAGCAGTTTTTAAAAATTCTTGCAGCTCTTGGCAGGTTCTCCAAAAGATCAGAAAATTATAATGCTTCATGAGATCAGAAACTGTGGGAAAAAGAAATAAATAACATTAATCTGCAAAATTAATTAAAAAATGAGATAAAATATTTAGAATATATTTCAACCAAAAGTAGCAATCTGTCTAACAGGAAGGCATAACTTAAAAATAATATGAAACTGCTGCATATTACCGTATTTGACGGCATATAAGATGCACTTTTTTTTCTAAATTTGGTCTCAAAAAAGTTACCTGCGTCTTATACGTGAAGGACACAGATTAACTTTCAATACTGAATGCTATTTTTAGCCCAGATAAAGGTATAGACACACATAACTTTTTCTACATCTGCCATAATTATTTTGCGCATGTGTGAAATATCTGTCACCAAAAAGCGCCAAACATGTCGAAGTTCGAACAGGTTCGACAGATACATTACGTCTATGGAGCCTTTCCTTCTTTACGTAGACTTTGACTCAGCCAACACACAGTCGGTATCGGTGCTTAAAACTATTTGTTTTAAAAAGTACCCTGGAAAATATGACTACAGGAAACAAGAGATTAAGCTTTACAATTCAGTATAAACTAGGAGTGTTAAACTACAGCCAAAGTGCATGGAAACAGAGCAACAGCAAGGCATTTTGGTCCACCACCTACCGAAAAAATGATACATACTTGGCGTACTTGTAATAAGATCTTGGGAGGACGTAAAGGCTGAAGTAATTGTTAAGTCCTTTAAGAAGTGTGGAACAGAAGACGACACATTATTCGAAGAAGGTGATACTAGGGCTGACGGAAACTGTAGTGATGATGATGTTCTCGTTTTCAATGATGATGATAGTGAAAAGGATTTTTATGGTTTTGAAAGTGATTAAAGTCTTATTTCATGATAGGCAACGTTTTCCTTGAATCTGTGTTTTTTGTTGTTTCTGCTTTATTTTGATTGCTTGCCGTTCATTCATTTATTCATTATTGAAATTTACATATCATGTTCAAAATACTTGCCGTTTGTTAATTTTCCTTAATAAAAATATGTTTGGTAATTGCATTCAATGATTGTTTATTTGGATTTTACAAAACTTGAGAACTAAAAGAAACATTTTAAGTTATTGTGGTACCGTGCTGTCGCGTGGACTATTCTGACTTTTTTCCTTGTGTGTGGCCTTCTAAACAAGGGTGCGTCTTATATGCCGTCAAATACGGTATATTCGGGGTGTGAAAGATTTTTTTTTTTAAATTGTAACTAGAAATTTTAGTTGTTTTAAATGTTTTGGCCAGTTTTTTATCTTCCAAATAATTATTGAATCTTGCATTTTAATATTTAAAAATTAAATTCTGTGAACTGGTTTTGATTGCATGAGCATGATATTAACTTTATCTGTATTGGAATTTTTTTTATATGTTAGTATATATGCTTGCAAAAATTTTATTTTTGATTTTTATTGTTAATTTAATAATCACTGTTTTATGTATAGGCTGATTTACAAGAAGCTTTACGGTTGGCTCCTAATGATAGATGTAAGTTATTTCTATTTCTTCATAGTTAGAATTCAGTTCTTTTGTAACATTTTGTTTCATGTAATTAAATATGATGTTTCAGTGTTTGCCTTTATTATTTAGTTAATCTGTTTGTAAATACTGTGTGTAATTTTGTTTACAATTTTTTTTTCAATGTTTATTTCATAGTTTCAGCTATCTCATCAGATCTGAATTAATAGCTTTAAGCTTTAATAGCTTTTAAGGATCAAATCTAGATAGCAATATTTGGATCTTAACTGAATACTTAGAACTCTAATGAGAAATTTTGAGCTATTAAAAACAGTGAAATCCATGAAAATATACCTTAAAGCATTGCTAACCATATGCAATATATATCCTCCCCACAGAGATAATGACATTGCAGATAAATCACTGAGCTGGGGGTTGTCTGGTTACCTGTAGGCCTCCTAATTTATTGACTTTTCCAAAAGTATTATTAGAACTGTGGCTAATATTCTACAGTTTAAAAGGAGGTGTTACAAGAGGAAGTCACAAACTCTCCTTCTATCACAGTCATTTTAACATATTGGGCCCACCAGCGGCCGAGCGGTAAAGTCGCTGAACACTGGTAGTTAGGTCCGAAGTTCAAATCCCGCAAACGGACTGCCTGCATGGGCGTTTTTGTGGTTTTCTCCATATGTAACGAAGTCCATGTCCTCCACGAAGGCATCCCTCCCCTTAGGCAGATAGCCCTAGTGTGCTTTGCCATAATTAAATAAACCAAACCAAACCATTTTAACATATTGGAATAGGCAAACATGTAACAATATCTACTTTCTCTTCCATCTACCAATAGGTGAATGCAAAAGTCTGTATGGTCTGTATTTCTGCCAAAGTAGAAAAATCTGCATACATTGTTACATGTATGTTCAGTTTTTAAAAATTGCTCTTAGACTGGAGAGCAGATTCTCACGACATCTTATTGTATGTGACATGAAGTTTTTTCTCCTGGGAATTTTGCATAGTTACACCCCTAGTCGTGTGATTTTTCGTTCTGCTTGGTTGATCTATCCACAATGCAACATGAAGTGTTATTATTTCATCCAATTAGTGTAAAAAGTTATGGACAGAACACTAATTCTAACTGGTTCTGAGTGAATGCAAGTCTAGAAAAAATTGCCTTTTTACATTCATTGATGTGATACCAGTGAACAAATGGTTTTCGAACACAATAGTTTTACAGACCATCAGGAGTGCATAGATTTATAGACCTCTCTTGATAATTTGTTGCCTTGCACTAATTTAGACTCTTAAATTTTCAGAGGATTTTGGATGTATTTAAATTAATTACATTGTTTCTGTACTGCTTCAGCTTGGAAGAATTATTAACAGAGTATAAAAATTTAAAACATAAAACGAATAATTTTTTTTTTTTTTTTTTTTTTTTTTTGATATAGCTGTGATAGCAGAGTTGGCAGCAGTAAAAGGAGAAATGCAAAGCATATAAAGCCAAGGAAAGAAAAGCATATGCTAAACTTTCATGTGAAATTGATATAATTTCCAGAAGTCTAGGCTGTTTTAGGATTACAAGTGCATATATAATTTTTTTCCCCAACTGATGTTAATTGTTCTGTGCATTTTTTAAGGATATATATATATATATATATATATATATATATATATATTTTTTTTTTTTTTTTTTTTTGGCAGTTCATTTCATGCATTTTTTCGTATTTTTCTGGTAGTTCCACAGTTGCGGACTTTTACCTGTTGATAAAGATTTATTATTATGTTGTTATTTTTTAGAACATGTGTAACATAAAGTTTTTCTTTTGAATTATATTTAAATATTTTAAAAATATGTCACATGACATCTTCATACTGATGTAATATAGTGTTTGTATATTTGTATTATAAATTTAATGTATATTCAAAATGTTGAAAGAACTTTGTCCTAAAACTTATGATTTTTAATTAGTGGTACTTTTGTGACAAACAGTTTAAAATGTATTTTGATAAATGTTATTTTACAAATGTAAAAATACACATTTCAATTTAAATTGTTGAAAGCCCAAATTTCAACGTGTATGAAAGTTAGGCTATGTTATAATCTAAATAGTCAATAAAAATATATATATCTTAATTTTGGGTCAAAAAAGTTTTTATAGGTGAAGCTTAATATGTGAAGCAATATAATATGAAGATAATTGTCTCCATGGCATTTATACAATATTGTGATAACTATATTTTTGAGGACAGTTGTGTGGCAGCTATGCTTGGGTATATTACAGGACTTTAAGTTTTTTTTATACATGACAGATTTTTCTTATGTGTTTTTATTTTTTGTTTGTTTTTTACTTACCCAGTAAGTCATTTGTTTGCCATATGCTTTGTGATAGAATATAATGCATTTGATGCTGTTTTTCTATCTGATCCAATGTGGGACAAACTATGTAGGCTTTAAAATACTTTAAACTGAAAGCAAACCTGAATTTCAAAGTACTTTGATGTTCTGAGTTGGAAAAATAAAATCATTTTTCAAATGCATTTCATGCTGTTGGTTCTGGAGTTTTCAAAATAAAGTGAAATTACAAACTTTTAGGGGGCAAGCATAGTTATAGAAACAATGCTGTTAAAAAATGTAGCATGAGAATTTCTTTCTGCCCTTTTAGCAGTTCAGTTTATTTTCAGTCTTACTGTACCTATGCATATATAATTTAGTGGGATTTAAAAAACTACATTATGTTATGTTCATTTAGTCAAATATTTTGTTTCAGATTTGTATTTCATTTGTTATTGTTAAATTTTTATTTTATGTTTTGAAGGTTAAAATTGTGCATCTTTTTATTAAAGGCATTCTGCAGTTCATTTTACTGAAATATGATATACTATTTAATTTAAAAAGTGAATAAAATGTTTCTTTCCCTTCAGCAAAAGATACGTTATAAATATGTTTTTCTTTATCAAAGATTAAAATTGTTTACATTAGACATAAAAAGGCGGAGGACGAAAATTGTAATTATTGAATTTGCGACTAAACAAAAGTTTTCCCCCACTTCATTCACTGATATGCTGGCAACTCAGGAATAATGAGAAAGTGCCAGTATTTTTCAGTCAACGTGTATGCTTTTTAAGTCCATACGCTAAAGAATAGGTAGACTAATGTCACTTTGCTAGTCTGCACAAAAAGTAGATTCTTCAAATTAACATCTCAAAATATTGTTTTATTAGCTGAAACAGTGAACAATACTGCTAGGTTTGTTGAAGTGTTATTGAAAGAAACTTTATAACTATTTAATAATTACTCATTTTTTTTATTTGATACCTTTATTCTCCTGTAAATAAATAAATAAACGTATAAAATGGGGAAGTTTTACTAATTTGTAGATAAAAGCTGTACAACAGTTTTAAGCCCTAAACATTTCTCGTGTTTTTATAGTTGTTAGCTTAGCTGGAGAGGATAAGTTTTGGGGTAAGTTATGAAATTTTTTTCTCAGCAATTAATTGGACAGTCATTTCTAATCTTTAGAATTTTACTCTACATTCTGTTCTCTTGGATTAGTTTTAATTTTAGTAACCCTGACTTCTGCAAGTGTTTATATTGTTTTTAATGTAAATGTTAGCTGGTAGTCTTCTTCTGTGCTGAAATTGGTTGCACATTGACTTTTAAGCTGAATAGAGTTGTGCAGGATATGCAAGATAGTGGTATGGTATTTTCTAATTATCTGGAACCCAGTTTCAACACCTCATAGATTTGACATATTTTTAATATATTTCTAGTAGTAGCTAGTGCACAGACATGCATACCACACACTTATTTGGTTATCTAAAGATCTGTACACTTTATATTTAACTGTTATTTTGCTCATCAGTCCCCACCTACCAATATAGATTTTTATTTTCATTTATAATTTTTAAATGCTGCTTTTTATTATTATTCACGAGCAGAGTGCTGTCTATGAATGTAAAGATAGCTAAACAAAAATTTGTCCCCACTTTATTCACTGATATGTTGGCAACTCAGAAGTAACGAGAAAGTGCCAGTATTTTTCAGTCAGCATGTATGTTTTTTAATCCCTACACTAAAGAATAGGTAGACTAATGTCACTTTGCTAGTCTGCACAAAAAGTAGATTCTTTAAATTAACATCTCAAAATATTATTTTATTAGTTTGTTAATGTATTCCTGATTTGATATGTATCTGAAGAAAAATATCTGCCCCATAATATTAAAGAAAGTGTGTTTAGTATGCAAAGCAGAAGACAGTTTTAATGTAGTGACAGTTCTGAAACTTGCCATGATATGTATGATAAATTTCCAGTGAATGGTGGATTTCCTTTTTTATGTAATTCATTAAAAAATATATGTATGTTTATTAAATATATCTAGCAAGGGTGATTGTGGTTTGAATATATTCTGTTTTTTCACTTTCCCAAATCGGGAAGTTCTCAGTGCTTGTTCTGTATTCGAAATTTTGAAAATAAATGTACTTGATTATTTTTTCTTGGCGCAGAGACTGCAATAATTATTGGAAATTGTGGAATGGTTGTTCCATTAAAAAAGAAGTTTGAATGTATTTTGAAAGAGGCATATATAGGATGGGGGAGGGGGCTATATATAGAGAATTCTGTCTTATTCAAATATAATGGCATCAATCCTGTTCTGCATAGTGAAACTGGTACTTTCATTTGCGTGATGAAATAAATAAGCATTAAATTCACCTAATGTCATTTCAGAAAATGAAAGCATTTCTGTTCCACCAACAAGTCAGAAGCTATCAGACAGATAATGCTTTTCTTATGCAGAAACTGACAAAACTGATACTGTAAACTTTTCAGCTAAAGTGTTGAGGCTAAAAGAAGATGGAAAACAGAACTACCCATTAATGGCAAACTTCATTAAATTTGTTTAATCTGCCTTCCTTGAACCTACTATTAAAAGTATACTTAATTTCATGTGTGATATTATGCTGCAGCACAGAACATTCTTGAACAGTGACAGCGTAAGTGCTGTGATGACTGAAATATTATGTATGTGAAATTTCTGAGTTAGAAAATCCCTTTCAAGTTCCTGTTGGTAAAAATGATAAGGATAATTTATGGAATATCTGGAAAGCTTGCCAAAGCTCTTTACATTCCATGAACCATTTTCCTCTAATCACCAGTTACTGATCTGTCAACTGTACCTGTTAATATTGATACTTTCAGGTTCTAATCTTAATACTTAAATGGTTAAATCAAAAGTTAATATCTACATCAAAATAGTTTGTTGATCCTACTGAATTTCAAGTGCTAGCAAAGAAAAATTTTAATACAACCCTTCCTGAAATTTAACCTCCCCCTCCTCCAAAAAAAGCATGTTTACCTTAACAGTTATCTTAAGAAATGTTGAGAAACTAAAAAAATAAATAACTTTGTGAAAGGATGGTGCACAATACAAATAAGTGTTTATTAAATTAAAAAGTATTATAATTTTTACTTTGCTAATGAAATCATTTGAAAATTTTTGTGTATGCATGTATGTATGCGTATCACATAAATATTCTAAATCATTTGAACGTATATATCGCAGTTTTACTCCATAGTAGTTTTTGGGGGTTTTGAAATGGGGTTACAATCATCCTTGCTCTAAACTGCATAACTTTACTTATGCAAATATTTTGAATTAATTTAAGTATTAAATTGGTGTAACGTGTAGGAGTATTCTGGTAATATTAATATTACTCTGGTAATTGATACTGGTAGTATTCCTGCAGTATTAATTGGGGTAATGTATAGGAGTATTTTGTGTTAATTTTGTCTCTATTAATCTATATAAATATTATAACAGGGTTTAAAATTTTACTTAGCTCTGCAAATATTAGAAACTTTTATTCCTTTTTTCTCCTGACAGTGTAAAAATTATGTAATACATCATTTATACATCAATAATATTTGCCAGAATATTTATATACCGTGTATTGCTTTTTATAGGTTTATAATATATAGTGTGTGCAGTGCTCATTTTCTGCATTTGGTAGATAAAATGGACAGGAATGTATGCAGTTTTATTTGTTTGTACCCTTATCATTGTTTATTCAGTTTGTAAGAAATTTATAGAAAAATCAAGTTTTATTTTTTATAATCAGTTATTCTTTCAAAAAAGAAAAATAAGTATTGTAATATAAAATTTAAAAATTCATTATATGCTTTTAATAAAATTATCTGTTAAGAGCGAGGCTTCTTTTTTATTACCAGATATATATCATAAATCAAGTTCTGTACTACAATTTTAAAACAAATGTATGTGCTTAAGTTTTTTGCTTTCAGGTTTTGAAAAGCTGTTTGTAATGAATATCTTAGTAAGTAATGACATTAAAGTAAGGTCATTACCCTATTTAAATTATAGTAAATAGCAAAAATAATTTTATTCTTGTTATATGTTTTCTGGCATCTATAGAAAGGAATTTCTCTTTAAGTAAAGCTATTGAAAATTTAAGATTTACATAACTGAATTCATACAAAGTTTTCAGGGCACACCAGCGACCGAGCGGTTAAGTCGCTGAACACTGGTAGTTTGGTCCGAGGTTCAAATTCCGCGAACGGGCTGGCTGCATGGGTGTTTTGTGGTTTTCCCCATGTTTAACGTGTATATGAGCCAGTTTCCCTTAGAAAGTCCTCCACGAAGGCATCCCTCCCCTTAGCTATAGCCCTAGTGTGCTTTGCCATAATTAAATACACCATCACAAAGTTTTCTGGAGTTATTCTTAACACTGAAATTACTTAAGAAGTAAGATTAGCAATTTCTGCATGTTCCAGATACTTGCAGGTTTTTAAAACAAAATTTTTAATCAAATCTGAAAATTAAGGATGAAAAGAAGAATTATTGAAGGAAAATTGATTACATAATTAGAGCTAAAGAGGTTTTCCCCCAAATGCATACTGATGAAGATATTAAGAAATTAGCAGATACGTTAGAAGATAGTTCAGAAACTAGTAAAAATATTGATTACCCAGAAAAATTTCAATTTAAAATCACTTAAGTATTTTGTAGTGTTATACAGTTGTTCTAACATCATTTTTAAACTTATGTATGTATATATGGGACTGCACTGGCAGGAACAATGATAAAAACTCATGTAACTTGTATTATGGTTTTGCAATTAAGAATGGGAAGCGTGCGCAAGATCTTTATTTTGTTATAATAATTGACATGTTTTCGAGATGCAGAATTGAATCTTAAAATAATAAAAATGAATAACAACAAAATAAATAAATAACAACATAAGAAAATAAATAACAACATAAGAAATATGATATAGAGGTATGAAAATATTTGTGTTAACAACTTTTTAGAGATAAATGGGGGGGGGGCTGGATCTGAAAGCTTTCAGATTTTATATTATGCCCTAAGAGGCTTTTTTTAATGTTTTGTATGTTATGTTTATTTATTAAATATCATGTTCTTTGCACTTAAACAAAAAAATTTCAATTTAGTAGCAATATAACAAAATATTTAAAAGATATCTTTAGAATTCCCGATACAGAGTTTTGTGTGCTGGAGATAAAAATATCCCCTCCCCCCATACAGTGTTGCCACTGCTCACTTTAAAATCATTGAATTTCTTAATCAAAAACTCATAAATGCTTACAAAATATGAAATAGATAATAAAACAAATCTGGCCTTCCAGATGCCCATATTCGAGTGAAGACGAACATTATTCAAAATTTGATGGCTCTAGGTACCATTGTTTTATGACAATGCGAGAAGCATACATTCATTTATGCAGATTCTTTAAATATAATACAGGGCTCTAATAGTTTGTGGCAACAATTAAAAAAGTTATTTGCCGTTTATAGTGAATCTGCGCAAAATGTCAAAACAGAATTAATAGCCCTGCTGAGAAAATTGACCTTAAAAAGTGATGCATATTGGCATCCTACTGCATTCGGTACATGTTCTGTTGGATTTTTTCAGTCTTAAGTTTATTAGTCAGTAATGCAGCATGTTGAGCATTATTGTTCATTAAGATGAAATTATTACCGATTGTACCCCTAAAAAACTTGACATAAGGATGAAGAACTTTACCTTTGGATATTTCAGCATAGTAAGCATTTCTATTGCAATAGTACAAATCTGTAAAACACTGTTGCCATTCAGAATGATGCCTGCCTGTACCAATATCCTCATTACTGAGGCCTTTCATGGTTAGTTTTAGGTTTATGTGCAGGCAAGCCTCCACATTTATTTAACATCAAGTCTGTTCTCTGCAACCGCTCAATGACAGAGCGAGATTGACCGCGACAACTGGTTTTCGGTCTCTTCTCCTGCTAGACTCCGAAGGTGTAACATTTTTTTTCTGCCCGTCCTCACCGCCAATGATGCGTGTCTGCAATTTTGTTCTTTTTCGTGCCTTTCTGACGACCATCTCCATATAGTTTCAAGAGAATGCATTTTGTCAAAACATAATAGTGTGTGGTATAAAGATTCAACTAAAAGTGACCTAGATGCTGACTCCTGCGGTAAATGAATGATGTTTTATGACTTGAGTCAAATCTCGTAAGGAATTCCTTTGCATGTGTTGCATCTTGATGGCCTTGTGTTTCCACAAAAATATACTGGAATAATAATCCAGACCAACATCCTTCGCTATAAAAATACAAATTTGTTATCATATAACCTTGTGCAACGAAGATGATCTGAGATTTAGTAGATTGGAACTTTACGCATTTTGTGCATGAAAGATTAGGACTCTAAATAGTAGGACTGATTCTTACTGCTGCAGTAGTACATCATATATTGTCTTCTGTCTGGCTATGTTTTCTTAATTTATATTAGTATTGATTTAAAATTTTACGATGTCAAGATATAATAAATTTCTCATAATTCACATTAATTGAAGTGTCATCCTTTGGGGGTAAGTTATTTTAATTCTATTTATTTTCAGATCACACATTTCATCCTGCACGTATCCATGTTTTGGGTTATTGCGGTATCACATTTGGCACACCCATATATTATTACATTTGGTGCTCATCATTACAGTTTATTGTATGTATTTTGCTCCTTCCACATTGCAACATGCCTAGAATTATTCACCAAACAAAAATGAGAGACAGACCCTGGCTCCAGTCACAATCAACTGTGCACATTTCACAGCCTGAGTTACTGGGATATAGATCATGAATTTCCTAGCATACAGCCCTTATGCAACCTGTCATTCGTGATTTATCTGGATAGTCGAGCCCTTGTAACTCCAACAAGCTCAAATCTTTTGCAGTCTGAGCTGACACCATTTCTCTACTTAATATAGAAATCATTGCAAAATAACAATCTACTATGGCATGTTTTTGACTTTGACCTGTTTCTCTGCTAACATCACTAGGGTCTTAACTTGATGACTCTAAATCCATATAGACTGCCTGTCATGCTTCCATTCTTCTATCCTCACAATCCATTTCCACCTTATGCATATGAAAAATTTCTCATGTTATCTGAAATTAGAATTTTGTTGGTACTTCCA